TGGCGCTTATGCTTCAGATTAAAATATTATCCGATACATTCCCCACTCATTAGTCCTTCAAATGGCTCAACAAGTATGTATCAGAAACTTCAGGTTTTCTACACTACAGTACCTACATGACGAGTCATCAGCACCACTTTCACAGCCTCAAACAGTGCCTAGAAATAAACACCCGCAATGGGATGTTGTGAACCAAACATTGGCACACGAATGCTTGCAAAAACACTGTCACATTGTGTTGTACGTGGTCGTGGACTCATCACGATGCGTCTACTCCGGACTTGTGGGACGCTGGCTAGGTTAGATAGTCGTCATACGTTCCAAATAGCTTTCATGTTATGATGTTTTGTTGTGAACACTTCAGACATTCAGAATCAGGCTGCTGATGAGCTTCCCTCATTATCCGCCAGTTTACCCGAGAGATTGAGGGGTGCAGACACCCCAACCACATCACGTCCAACATCCATGCCCCTGCATGTGCTCATCTTAAGGTGATGGGGGTCATAATCAAATCCCTGTCCCAAGCCTTGGTGTGTCGATCAGCACGGGCGCCACAAAGAAGTACCACGCTGGATTCTCTCACCTTCTGAGGCTTCGATAATCATGAGTGGACGGATTTTGTCTTTCAACTTTTGCCTAGCTACCATGCGGTGTTCTCCCGCAGGACGACCGCATCTTCATAGGACGGCGATCATTCACATCATTATCTTCACACACCTCAACCTGCAGCTCTCCACGAGAACCAGCACGAGAAGAATTATCCCGTGTTTTCCCATCTTATAGCATATATCGAGAAGGTATCACTATTCCGACCATCTCACGGCATATATGCGTAGCCAAAGATGCAAGGTGGCTGTGTCCCCGGATTTTCAAAAATACTCAAACTATACCCTGTGTGCGGTAATGAGCTTTCCGGTAGTAGGTACTATCTACTTTCTACTTCTGGATTCGATACATGGACTTCAAAATACCTTGTTCTAGGGAATACCGGCAGTTGTCGGCGATTAATATATTGTATATTACATGCAACTCGTGCATGATAAGGGTTATTATATTGCAATTTATTTCCAACACTTCAAAACCCATATGTACCTGGTTATAGGCCCATTCCAGAATTTGGGTTATCATAGGAGAATCTCCATCAAAAATTCTATCGTAGACCCCATCGATCATAAGTTTGAGGATCAAAATACATGTGAGCTTCGCGAGTTACTACCAAGAAACTAGTTGGTTTGTTGGGATTTCCTTCATTTTTCGAACAATATGGCTCGGAATGATACTTCCCTCGGGATTATCGGGTATATTGATCTCATGGACACGAATGGATCAAGGGAACCAAAAAAATCCATCCAGACGAGCTACCATTCAGCCGCATAATCTTTCGAGCATCAAGATCCACTGTTCAGTGAACATTTTACTATTTGCTGGTAGAGCCAGGGACATGAGCTCGATACCAGCTGTCTGTTATGAGTTGAGATAAGCTACTCGTGTATACTTTGGGGACAGAAGGACATGGCATATCCTTGGAGCCGGAGAGTTTCAGTCTCGCCTCGCGCCCCCTAGCTACAGCGTCGTGTGGCACCAAATTGTGTCAACATTCAACAACACGGGCATAGCATGACGAGACGAGAGGTAAGTTGAGTTGAAAGCATAGTTCGGTATGGAGATATTGGAAGATGGTCAGTCTTGCCGTGATGTCAAAACTATCATCAGGGGCCAGGAAGACGCCACACCGAACTGTGAAGGTGGTTTATCGTTCCAATGCCAAAGTACCTTTTGTTCTCTGCAGAGATCAGTGATAGATGGCAGAAGGTAGTGTCTCCAAGCTTCCCATTGGTTAACATACCGATAATATCACAGTTTTACACTTGGGAGTAAACACTAACCCCCATCACCGACATGTGCATACATGTATTTCACTTCTAGAATCTCCTTTCTAATTCATACATCACACAAACTCCCAAGTTTTTTTTCTTACCTCGCAAACTTTGGTATAAAAATGGATGAATAACAGGATGTAGGTACAGGTATATACAGGTAATCAAGACACATCTACAAAATCTCCATCTCATATACTCGTATACAAAGACCAGATATCTATGCGAGAATACTCGAGTACATACATCACAGCTGACCCGTCACCCATTACCCATCACCTATAGCTAAAGTATGGAGTCGGACTAGGTTGCGTTTACTCGTAGTATACGCATACTAGCATACTAGCGCTTACCACAGCCATTATCAACAAGCTCTCCACGGACCATGGGTCCATGGTATAGACTATAGTAGCATCGAGACTCTAGTGTGTATCTATGTATCTCCACCTTACATTACCACCACCGTCATAACTTCTCTAGGAGGTAAAATCCTGCATGGAATTGTGCGTGCGTTGATTGGAATTTGGAGATGGAAAATCTGGGGATATCGTGATCGTGATGCCAAGAATTCGAACTCATAGGGTGGGGTGGGGTGATGAGCCTATATATGGATATGGATATGGATATCGATATGAAGTCGAATGGGTACGGTTCACCAGATGAACTAGTCTACTACTCTACTCTATAGTGTATAAAGGGTACTTACTGTATACCAACGTCCTGCGCCGGAAATACGCATTGCGGTGCCGACAATGGTTGTGCTCGATGCAAGGCTCATGTCAAGGCTCATGTTCTAGCTTGGTTTTGTATATGTTTGCTGATGTTTTGTTCGACGGAGGCGGAACATATGATGTGTTGACCGCTTAGCCGGCGGTAATCATCTATGATCTTACTAGAAGTTTTGTGGATGGAATCTTGTTGTCGTATTAGTATTCTTGTTTACTGTGCGAGTAGTATGGTGGTATGGTGGTATGATAGTATGGGAGCAAAGTGCGTGGAGAGAGATCAATTTGAATTGGGATCATGATGAATCATCCGGGTGTAAGAGAGTGGGTTTGGGTGGGATAATACAGCTGGGTTTTGCTATACTCGAGTAATAGATTATTAATGCGAGTAAGGGTTGAGAAATTATGCTGGTGGTTGTGAGATTAGACAGCATAGTTCTATCGATACTCACCATCATACACTAGATCTGTAAAACCATTAGATTTTAATACCTTGGCACAGTATCCGAGTACTGTCTGAAATAAAAAGGAGGAAGACGGACAACAAATCCGCAAATTTTACATTATAATTGAATTAAATTTACATTATAAACCAATAGATACATAAATACATATATACATACCATCTCAAACAATAAACAACAATACACCCCGATTGCATCACTAAGGTAAGCTAATAGCTCACCTACAATTAACCACAGTCCAAGCCAATATCAACACCAATATTCCACTACCCGTCGTTTAATCTCATCACATTCTCTTCTTACCTCATCTCATCTTACCTCACCTTTTTTAGTCCCAAGCTAGATCTTCCCAGCCGACTAAAAAGTCAAATGCATACATGCACGCTCCCACTTCCAATCCCATCCTTCCAGCCCAACACACAGTAGTACTTCCTACAGTACAGTATATCACATCCGCATCTCCTATCTCAAAATACACTATATCATATCATCATATCATATATACAGTACCTCTATTTCTATCTCTATCTCTGTCTCTCTCTCTCTCTCTCTCTGAAATTCTATGTCGTAAATTTCGTGCCTATGTACCCGAGTATATAATATACACAGCCTCTAGGTGGCAAACATTGACAAACACGACAAACACGGCTGTGTTTTGTTTTTCTGTCTTGGATATATTTGCTTTTAATACAGCACTACAGCACTACAGTAGTCAGAGAAGAGAAAGGGAGAGAGAGAGAGAGAAGAGAAAAAAGAGAATCTTATTTACTTAGTTTGATTTCTACTCGAGTATTATATAGATAGATCCTGGTTTGGGATAGCATGAGATGCGAAATGGATTTTTAGATTATGGGGTAGGTATATATATATATAGTCTGGCAGGTTAATATTTTGATTTCGATTTATGGAAATACATATGGGTATAGTGCGTGTTAGATATTTTGTCTTGTCACTATACTCGAGTAAGTGAAGTGAAGAGAAGATTGCAGATTCGACGGTTATATAACTATAGAGTCCTGATCACAACTTACTCGAGTATAGCAAATACATGCACGGCACCACGGTACGACCAAATATTCGAGTGATTTATGATGATTTATGACAAGAGGAGGGGATTGGACAGAAGACAGAGGACAGAGGACACAGAACCCGGGGATTGGAGTGGGAATTATCAATCTTATATGATATGGTACTTATTAGCAAATGAAAGATGAAGTGAAGTAAATAAGAGAATCCAAGTCTTACACTTTTAGTCTTATTCCAACTGGGTGAAGATAATGCAACAAATCTGCTAACTGTACTGTACTCAATAATAAGACTGCACTGCACCAAACACATACACATACACATACACATACACATACACATACACCCCGAGACACCCCATCCTCATCCTAATTTAACTCATACATTTAAATACTCTACCTGCATCACCTGCATCACCTTTATCACCTTCATCACATCCAATAAGGCAAACACGTAACATCAGATCAAATCAGCGATAACTTAATATTATTCTTCCTATTCCATTCAGAGACAGCTAGAATAGATAAGGAGAAAAAGAAAAAGATGCGAAGAGAAAAGAATATGTTTATGGAAAATGGAGAGTAAAGGTATGGAAAATAGAGAGAAGGATGCGTGGTGTAAAGTAAGGCTACTAAGACACAGATCATTATTGAAACTCGACACTTTTTCCACATCGTAGCTTCTGAGCATATCCGTGGGGTCTTCAAAAACTTAAATTTGAGGTCTTGGAAGTTTGGCTAAAGCTTCTTCAACATCAAATCGTTCGAACACTTTACAGAACCTTTTTGTAGTATGATCTGTATAGCAAGCCATTGGACTAGTTGAGACATTGAGAAAATATAAGCTTTCAGGTCACTTGGCTTTAAGTTTGACAGTACATTAATTCATAAGTAACATTATTTTTGTGTCTAATAGTCATAAAATCTGCCATCAGAATGTTAGTATACCCATTCACAAGATCAAGCAGGAATGAGGAAGAAACTAACCCCTTTCCACTCTTCTTGCCCAACCATCCAGCGTCTACCATTTTCCCTAGTAACACACTAGGTCTATACTTACTATCCCCCGTCTCTTCATGTAATACCTTCATAATGGCCAAACAAGTATCGATGCCAATAAAGTCCGCCAACTGCAATGGTCCCATGGGTACATTTGTTCCATTCCTCATTATCGCATCAATATCATCCCTTTTCCCAACACCAGTTTCTAAACATATTATAGCTTCGTTGATATAAGGCATTAAGATTCGGTTGGCCAAGAAGCCGGGCGAATCTGCTGAAGTAGATGGAATTTTACCCATTCGTTTGCAGAAGTCGATGGCCGCATCCAAAGTACTTTGACTTGTTTGTAATCCAGTAATAATCTCTACGCCCTTTTGAATAGGCACCGGATTCATAAAATGCGTTGAAACTACACGGGAGGAAACACTGGTATCGGTTGGATCTTTGGTCGTAGATGCGGCAATTCGTGTTATGGATATGGAGGAGGTGTTTGTGGCAAGGATGGCATGGGGAGGACAGATTTGGGCGAGAGAACTGAATATGGAGAACTTCAAGGAGGGAATTTCGGGGACGGCCTCGATTACAAAATCGGCCGAGGAAAGGTCACTCATACTTGTGGTGGGAATGAGGAGGGATCGGATAACGTCGGATTGTTCTTGGGTGATGCGTTGTTTGTTTACATCTTTGGCCAGGAGTTTATCTGTATTGAAACATGAATTAGTTATCCGTCGTCAATATGATGATGAAACAAAATGGTTAGAAACGAGTGAAGATATAATTGCATGGAATGTATACCGGCAAATGCTAGGCCTTTATCAAGGGAGGCTTTATTTGTATCGACGAGAGTGACTGGCACACCAGCGACTTTTGCTGCTACTAATGCTATTCCTAAGCCCTATGTACCATGAGCAATTGACCATCAAGAAACACAGTGAAGTTTGACTTGACTTACCATTTGTCCAGCTCCAATAACGCCGAGGCTTTTGACTTCTTGCGCCGAGAGGATTCGACTCGAACTGAATGATCTTACATATCTGGAACTTTGCAGAAGTCCTCTTGTAACAATTGGAGTAATCATATTGGGTAGCGACTTTATTTATAAGAACATATAAAAGATCTGGTGTGGTGTTGTGTTGTATAAAGAAGTATAGTTACCGAGGGGTGGAATTACCTTCGGCCCGGTATTATGTGCCGCCGTTACATGTGGCTCGCTCTGAACAGGGGTACGCGTCGCGATCGCGAAATTAAATTTGGTAGGGGCGGGCGTGTAAAGAGGTTTAATCAAAATTGTTGCCAGTAATTGTTGTAATTGTAATGTACCCGTACTTATGGTAATTTATAATTTATTAACGCCATGCCATGATATTATTCAAGACAACAACGAGTTAACACACAACGCAATATGGAGTTCTCCTCAGTTGGTAAGATAGATGTTGTGGATCAGGAAGTTAGAGCTCATGTGAATAGTTTGGTCACAGCTGTGAGTTTCTAATATTATATTTATATTTTCTGAAAAAGATTCAAGAATTGACCCCGTTTGTACAGTTGGGAGGAAGCGGAGCAGATGAAGAAGGTCGATACATACTAGGAGATGATGCATTAGCATGTCTACGAGATCTTAAGAGATGGTTAAAGCTCTACGATGAGAAATCAAATCGATTAGATGTTGCACGATGTCTCGCAGATTCCAATTTAGTGGGAGGAGATCTACTACAAATTCTTGCAGCATGGCCCGAGAATGCCACGGACAATCGATTGAAGTCGAAGATAGCGTTGGCATGTCTAGAACTAATGGTTCCATTGACTTGGCCGTTGGAGAAGAATAAGGAAATGACGGTCAATCATCATCGACATGTACCATACTTGGAGATTGCGCAAGTGGGATACAAGAGGTCGATTCTTGGGTTTGATGGAGCAAAAATATTACATACTGCAGTTAGATGCGCGCTTCCAGCCATTGCGGAGGATATTGGGGATCGGAGTACGAGAGATGAGGGCATTATCAAGTTGCTCTTGTACTTCTTGCGGAATATTGCTATGATCGCACCTCCACCGAATGGTGAATACGAAGGTGACGAGGCAGAAATCTCGAGGTCTGCGACAGTCGATGCTTTCGACTACCAAGATATATTCCATCTTCTTTTGACGATATCCTCGACGATGGGGGAGGATTTCACTACCCAGGATGTTGTAATCATGGACGTTATCTTCCACTTGATTAAGGGAGTCGATGTGGAAAAGTTGTTCGTCAGCGAAGAGGCAATGGACAATAGTAAGACGGACGAGCTAGTCAGGTTACGGAAGAAGGAACAAGCAATGCTTCGAGGTTATCAAACAAATGCTCCTACGAGGCATAATCGATTCGGAACAATGGCATGGATGCAACGGGATAATGCGAAAATGACAACAATATCTGGTCAGGCTGCTCTAAGGACTGGTAGAGGAGGACTGGACAAAATGGATAGTACCAAGAAGTTCAAGCCACCTCGGAGAGCAGTGAAAGGAGAAAGTGGACCGCTAGCCTTTGATAACCTGGTCCCTCTCAATGCGTCGGCAACAAAAAATTTACGAAACTTTGTTGAAGACTTTCTCGATTCTGGTTTCAATCCCCTTTTTACGCATATTCGAAAAGCAATTGATCGAGAAGCTGAGAGAGTCCTTGAATATCATCAACGGCAATTCTTCTATCTCATATCGTGGTTTCTCGAGGCGGAAAGAGCAAGGAGAAAGAACAAAAAGTCTTCTAAGAGTAAAGTACCCGAGGAGGTGGACAGTTTTGCCCTTGTTGCGACTGTTCTCAACCAAGAGATGTTCATTACGCTCAATAGAGGGATGGATTTAAATTTTGAGAACAAAAACTGGTACGATTTAAGTGCGGCGATGAAATGCTTCACCCAAATTCTTCTCACCGTTCAAGAAATGGCAGATTCACCTCTTGAAGATGATCAAGAGATTGCAGAAAACATTCTTGCTCGTATATTCTACGAAGATACAACTCACGAACGAGTAGCGATGATTACTCGATCATATAAAGATCAAGGATTTGGTTATCTGGATTCTTGCACAGAGCTTACGCATAATTATATGCGTATCCTGGAACAATATTCAAAGCAGAATATGGATATGCAAGTAAGATCTCGGAGACGTACGCGAAAGAAGAAGAAGGCTGCCAGGGATGCAGGAGAAGATCAAGGCGATGACATTATAGTTGATGAGTCTGATGGTGAAGATGAGGCACGAGCACAGAAAGAATCCTCCGAGCGAAAGTTCGACTACAAACTCTTTGCAGCAAAATTCCTGTCACAAGGATGTATAGATACGTTTATATCGTTTACCAAGTTTTATCTTGACCTCAAGCCAGCACAATTGAAACGGGCCCACAGGTTTTTTTACCGTGTGGCTTTCAAACAGGATATGAGTGTTATGTTGTTCAGAGTGGATATCATTGATTTATTTTACAAGATGATCAAAGGTCCAGGAGGCATGGATCCTCTGTCTTCTTCCTACAAAGAGTGGGACGAAATGGTCAAGCAACTCTTAAAGAAATGTACGAGGAAAATTCAAGAGCGTCCGGAACTTATTGTGGAAATCCTCTTTTCGAAAATTAATAGCACCGCACATTTCTTGGAATATGGCTATGAAAAGCAGACAATATCTACGAAGCCTAAAGCTGCGGCTGAATTAGAAGTTAAGGGCGGATTAGAGTGGGAAGCACAAATCGGTGTTGCTGTTGGAGCTTTGCTTGATAGGAATGAGGCTGATCATATTGAATGGGTCAAGTCACAATTATTTTCTGCCGAGAGTGAAAGGAGGGGATGGGAGGCGGCGAACCAAGCTTTGCAGTCCGTGGAAAAAGATCCATTTGCGGAAGATGAAGAAACCCCTGTCGCGGAGGTTGAAACCCCAAAGGCTGCTACTATTCGTATGTGTTGCTGGTTATTTATCCTTGTTCCTACTTTGCTAACCTTGATGTAGTTCTTAAACCGGACAACGATGCTAGGAAAACTGCCATGTTCAAAAATGGCTATCTTCGCCTTTTGATGAAGCTTGTCGGACTCGCAAGTATTGGAGCTGTCGATGACCCTGACACTTCCTGGATTGTCCCGTCAGCGAAGTCTGCAGATCAGATCAAGGAAGCTCTCGATTTAATTAAGAAATTTGAATTTGCTCCACCAACCTTCGACGACGGTAAAGGAGCACTTGACCAAATAAGGAGAGTATCTGCTGGTATGAATAGGAAACGTGCAGCATTTGATGACGAATCAGATGATGGCATTGATGACGAAGAGGAAGAACTTCTCTTCGAGCCCGGCGGACCCACAGCGATGAAGAAATCCGATGCACTAAAGGCTCTGAAGAAGAGTCGAAGGAAACGCAGGAAAGAAGGAAGCGAAGAATCTGAAAGCAATGGGCTGACGGATGAACAAATAGAGGCACGCGCGACTGCTAGGAGAGCAAGGGAGTTGGAGAAGAATCGGAAGATTAAGAGTGAATTGTATGTTCATGATAGCGATGAGGAAGACGAGGAGAAAGATAGGATGTTCTTCGAGGTTGAAGAGAAGTTAAGACAGCAGAATAAAATTGTCATCATGAAGGGCCTGTTGGGAGTTGGTCAGCAGAGAGAAAGTGGGAAGAAGAGGATGGCGGGTGCGTTGGATGGGGAGACAGATGGAGATAGTGATGAGGATGAGGATGTGGTGATGACAGGAACTAAGAAGAGGGGAAGTAGTGCAATCTCGCTGGATAGCGATGATGCTGCTGCAGGTATCGGTGCTGGGGACGCAGAATCAGAAGAGGAAGATGCCGAGAAGACGGATACCCCAATCTCAAGTCCACATAGATCCGCGCAACCTAAGAGGAGAAAAGTGTCAAGTGATGTTGACGACGAAGATGACGATGTTGAACCACTGTTTACAAAAGGTGCAATGATGCAGATGGTAGATGATGAGGATGAAGAGAATATGGCGCCGGTATCGAAACCTAGGAGACCGAGGGTCAGAGCTGGCTTTATTATGGATAGTAGTGATGAGGAATGATTAGACTTGGGTTGGGGTTTGGGTTTGGGTTTGGTTGGATGCACGGTTTTGTGGATAGCTGGATACCAGGGGCGTTGAGTTGGGGTTTTGGGGCATTGCATGGTGCATTCATTGTATTATAATGTGAGAATACGAGTACATATCATAGGATTATGAAAGTTATTTTATTGGGATGAATGGTCGTTTTTTAGAAGTGTATTGCTGATGGATGATGGATGAATATTATTGTATATAAGGGGGAATTCTGGGTAAGGTAAGGAAGGCTAGGCGATAAAATGATATACCTCTGTCATATAGGTGTGTGTGATTCGGTGGCTAGTGAGTACAGTAATTGCCTGCCAGTGTGAGTGCGAGTGCGAGTGCGAGTGCTCCTTTGCTTGTGTCATTTACTACCACCGATGGGATGAAGTTAATTATTCTTCGACTCTTAGCTCGAATTTCTGCTTACGCATAAGCTTGTCGAGATACGAGTGTATGTTGGGCCTTTTTGAAACGTTATTAGTGTTAGTGTGTTTGTTTATTGGTGTTGTATGGATGTAGGTAACCAGAGGTTTGCATGGAGATGTTGAGTATTCGTGTCTAATGAGCTCTTTATATTAATTCTCATCCTTGTGGAGATTTCTTCATTCCCGTCTCAAATCTTTTCATTGAAGTTGAAAGGGGTTTATTTCGTTGATAGATATTTCCATAATTTGGCTGTGTGATGTTTCGATTTCAGATTGGGAATTTCAAAGATAGTGAATGTGGAATGGTAATATATAAGTTCGTGAGAGTATAAGAGATGCTGATAAAAGGAAGCAGTAAGTCAACTACCCC